GCTGCTTCAAGACTGCCAGGGAGGGGGAGCTCTCCACTTCCCCAGGAAGCTGATCCCACTGTTGCAAAAATCTGACTGTAAAACAGTTTTCCCTAAGATCCAGCCGGTACCTTCCCGCCCTTAATTTAAGCCCATTCTTGCGAGTCCTCTCCTCTGCTGCCAACAGGAACAGCTCCCTGCCCTCCTCTTCATGACAGCCCTTCAAATACTGCAAGAGAATCTCCCTGTCCCCCCTCCCCCTGAACCTTCCAGTTGGGGCAGAGGGTGTCCTGGCATGAGAGTGTAGAGGATACTCAAGGGTTCAGATGATTGTCTATTGGTTATTGCTGGCATTTCAGAGATCTTTGAGAAAGGTTCTTTGGGATTCCCCAGGAAGAGTGGGCGAATTGTTAACCACTAAGAAGAATTGTAGAAACAGGTGTTTTAAATCCAATTTAATTGACAGCAAAATAATTTCCTAATTGGAACAAGTGTTCTTACATCAGCCCTTTTAATTAGGACAGTACTTCCCATCACCTAACAACCTGCCAAAGTTAAAGATTTATAGTGAGATACTTTGCTTCAAAGAGAACTAGGAGTAATTGGTCAAGATGAGTCTGGAAAAGCCTAATTGGGGTGAACGAAAGGGTAACTTTACTGTAAGAGAGGAAACCCCCTCTTCTGACTTGCTGTGTGTTTTTAGACTTTAGATTTTGTTTATAGACTATGGTATAGGATGTTTGTAAGGGAAGCAGCTAGCTGAAATATTAATTTTAAGCTTTGCTAAATAAATAGCTATAAACTATAAGGAACTACCAAGCTTATTTTAACAAAGCAGAAAGTTGGGATGTTCAAAAAAAAAGTTTATGAAGTCACAGGAATTAATTATGGGCACCTGTCAATTAAAAAGGCCAATTAAGAATACAGAATGTATGTTATATGAGAAGGACCCCTACTGGCCAAGGTAAAACTGCATATTTCACTAGAAGTTTTAATTTAGACTAAAAACGGTGTATAAAATTAACAAAAATATTTGGTGAATCAAAATAAAGAATGATAGGTAGATTCAGTGTATCTACAAAAGCTTTATGTCATAGACCACTTTGCAGCATTAGAAAAGTCCTCCAACTTTTGTGCAACAGGTCACCTTAAGGAGGAAATAAACAAGTGGCTTCTACAGACGCTGCGGTCGGAGGGTGTAACAGAGGCTTCGGTGGAGATAATTACTTTTACCGAATCAACATTTCAAAGAGAGGCCCCCCAGGAGTTTCGCAGGACATTATCATCGAATTCAAAGAGCTTAATATAAGGAATAAACTTTTCAAAATAGCTCGTGAAAAACAGGGTTTGCTTCTTGAAGATACATGCGTGTTTCTGTATGCTGACGTCATCCCAGAGGTGCTGATTGCAAGACAAAGTTTGCGAGAAACAGCAAAAACATTAAGAGAAAAGAAAATACCATACAGATGGTTAGCACTTGGACATTTGGCTGTTAATATAAAAAATAAAATATTCACAGCACATAATGAGACGACCGGGAGAAAACTTGTAGAGGCTGTTATGAAATTGAAAGAGGGGGAATAGTGAAGGGTAGAATATATTATGGTATTGATAGTTAGGTTATAGTGTAAATAAAAGGAAACAACTGGAAGCAAGATGTATTAGCATAAGAGTAGGCTTTATCTCTAAACATGTTTAAGCAGGATAGGAATATGGGACTGTTTATTTTGAAATTTAGGGTTTTATCGTCATAACTGGGTGTAGCAAGGAGGCGAAGAGTGTGCCCCCCAAAGACCTCCGTATATAGGGAGAGAGGGGGATTCCCCTCTCACTGTAGAGTGCCTCTCTATAGCTCCCACAATCGGAGGCAACCCTTTCAACTTTTCATTTTAGGTACAGAAGCAGGGTAATAGTACTATGCGAGTTAGAACGAACTGTAGTTTTTGAGTGGTATTATGTGTATGTATATGTTATGGGGAAGTTGGATGGGATTTATAAACGGGTAAGATAGGGGCATAGGAAAAGAAGAGGAACTAAAAGAGAAAAAAATTGGTTGTTGCAATAGTAACCTCAGATGGATTGTTTTTTTCTTTTGTTTCACAATTGTTAAAAATGGGAAATGAGGATATCAATAAGATGAATAATGAGTTTATGTCTGTGTTTTGACTGATATGCTCAATAAAAAATGTAAATACCGAAAAGTGCTTATAGAGAGTTTAATATTTAAAATAGTGCTATAATTTTGTAATAAAAATATAATTTTAATAGAAATAACCTATAGATTGATATTAAGAATATTGTTATACTTTTATATGCATGTATCAATGTAAAGAAACCCTTTTTGTAATGAAAACAGCTAAGTTTTGTACTGAAAAGGAACTCAGCCTGAGTTCATTCAAAGGTGAAATGAGTCTAGGTAGGCAGCCAAGAAAATGAGCACCTGTATTAATCAATTTCAATGAGACAAGCACCTGCATTGTAGAGTTGAGACACGGCCAAGAAACATCTTGTTTGTCAAATATGTAACTGATGATTGTTCAGACAAAGAAATCTAAACTGAGCATGTGCAAATGATGTCAACAACGATGTAAAGTTGGAAGGAGCAAGCAGAGTATATAAGTCCAATCCCTACTGCTATTCACTGAACGTCTGAGCGGAACTTTTAGCTGTAATGTTGTTCCTTTATTTGAACAAATTTCTTTTTCTACCCTTCACTGCCTGGAAGTGTCTGTCTCACTGTGTGGTTTATTGGCTAGTCACACAAATCAAAGAACCTTAGCGCCCTCAGGGCATTGCCTTCAAGAGGATGGGGGTGGGAGGGGTCAGGGCAAACCTCAGTTGCCCAGCACCAATTAGATGGGGCACAGCTTTCTAACGCTCCAGACTTTATTGAACAGTAGCAAGGTAAGAGTCACGAGGTGCAATGAGCAGGACCGTGAATTCCCTCTGTGCAGCCTTTGGCAAGTTGCTCCAGGCAGCCGGAGACAGAGTGAGCTCCCTCTCTCCATCCGGGCATGCCTGTGGGTGGGGCAGACATGCCAGATGAACGGCTGCCCGAGCGCCCTGAATGGGGCAGAGCCAGGCTTGAACTGCAGGATTGCAGCCCCACGGCAGAGTGGCGGGATCCACACCCATCATGGCAGCCAGCCTGCACTGCAAAGGAATGTCATCCTCCCAGGTGCCCTGAAGCCGGAGGCCAGTTTGGAGTCTCCTGGCTTCGCTGTCCGATGAGTTATGCCTGCCAGTGTGGGGAAGTGGTTAAAGTGTTGGAATATGATCTGGGAATCCCAGGTTCGAATCCCCACCATGCCATGGATGCTGGCTGGGTGACCTTGGGCCAGTCAAATCCTCTCAGCCTAGCCTATCTTGAAGGGTTGTCATGAGTTTAATGAAAATATGGAAAGAAATTAAGGTTTACTACATTAAAATTCCCAAATGGGTAGCGCCAATAGACGCTCTTACAAAACCAACATTAATTGAGAAAAGTAAAAAAGTAACCTATGAAGATCTTTTAGATAAAAACGCTAGGCTAAAAAATGAAGACGAATTAGCAGCACAGAACATGAGACTTACTTGGTGGGATAATATGCAATTAATATCAAGATTCAACAAAGATTAAAAAATAGGTTTCTATAAAGATAATAATGAGTTGGACAAGATTTGGCTATACTCCAGTGATTAACAAATTCAAAAGTTATACAAATTCTTTGTATCAGATTATCTCCTGGAGGAAACTGTCAAAGGGACAATGGTGGCGTGGATGAAAGATCTAGTACAATAGAGATAGAGCAGTGGTCCAAAATATGGAACTCAGTTAAATTAATGAGAGCAATCCCATACAAAGAAAATATTTATAAGATGTTTCATAGGTGGCACTGGACACCAGATAGAATAGCAAGGTGTTGTTGTTGTTGTTCAGTCGCACAGTCAAGTCTGACTCTTCACGACCCCATGGACCAGCTCCCGCCAGGCCCTCCTGTCTTGCAAGGTGTTATGCAAATGCTAATAAGAACTGTTGGAAATGTAAGAAAAATGTTGGTAATTTTTTCACATGTGGTGGAGGTGTGAAAGAATACAGAGATATTGGCAAAAAATGTATAAGATAGTAACAGAAATCACAGGACTCAACGTACCATTTATGCCAGAAATTGCTTTATTGAATATTATTCCAACAAATTACAATAAGTCAAATAAATGTATAATAACATATATCTTTACAGCGGCAAGAATACTATTAGCCAAATATTGGAAAGAGGAAAATACCCCTCAAAGGAGGAGATTATAGAGAAATTGTTGTCGCTAGCAGAAATGGACAGATTAAGCATTATATTACAAGGGAAAAATCAGGAAATATTTGAAAACAGACGGAAAATGTTCTATGTTTGGTTAGATAATATAACACAAAAATGACTCGCATGAATAACAAATGTAAAATAATGATAATTTGTATATAATGTTATCAAATTATAAATAAACAATTGGGGGGGAGAACTACAGCTCCCAAGGTGCAACGCGTTAAAAGTGAGTCATCAGCAACATGGTTAGCCATATATATGGGATTAGATAAAAATGAGGCAAGCATTGGGGGAGGGGGGGTCTGTATATGTGGCCTGTCTAAAAAAAAGGTAAAGGTTTCCCTTGCTTGAAAGCTAGTCGAATCCGAGTCTAGGGGGTGGTGCTCATCTCTGTTTCCAATCTGAAGAACCAGCGCTGTCCGAAGATGTTTCCATGGTCATGTGGCCAGCATGACTAAACACCGAGGCACCCAGAACACTGTTACCTTCCCACCTATTTATCTACTTGCAATTTCTTGTGTTCAAACTGCTAGGTTGGCAGGAGCTGGGGCCAGAGACGGGAGCGCACTCCGGCATGCAGCATTCGGGTCTCGAACAGACAAACTACAGACCTTCCAGTCCACAGTTCAGCATCTTAACCTCTAAGCCACTGTCTACTAGGCCCTAAAGATCCATGAATATTTCAATAAATACTTTTCCTTTGACAACAGATTAAATACTTTTCCATTACAAAGAACTTTTTTGAGAGAAGAACTTCCTGAGCGCCTTGCGGATCTCCTTGGTCTTGATGCTGTAGATGATGGGATTCAGGACTGGGGGAACCAAGAGGTAGACATTGGCCATGAGGGAGTGAAGATGAGGAGAAGCGTGCTTGCCAAAACGATGTGCCATGGACACGCCGATCATAGGGACATAGTACACCACCACCGCACAGATGTGGGAGACGCAGGTGTTGAGGGCCTTCAGGCGCCCTTCTTTCGAGGCCATGCCCAGCACCGTCTTGAGGATCATGATGTAGGAGAGGACAATGCACAGCGAATCGAGCCCAAAAGTAGAGAGGACAACAAACAGACCGCATCGGCTGTTCACTGTGATGTCAGCGCATGGCAGGCGGAGTAAATTGGAATGCAAACAGTAGGGATGAGCGAGGACGTTGGGTCTGCAAAACGGCAGTCCCCGCAGGAGAGCGGGCAAGGGTATCATTAGGACGATGCTCCTCGTAGCAACCCCCAAACCTATCATAACGATCCGGGAGTTGGTCAGGATGGTGGCGTATTGGAGGGGGTTGTAGATGGCTACGAAGCGGTCAAAGGCCATGGCCCAGAGGACTCCCGAGTCCATGATGGAGAAGGAGTGGATGAAGAACATCTGGGCCAGACAGGCATCGATCCCGATCTCCCGGACATCAAGCAGGAAGACGTTCAGCACGGTCGGAAGAGAAGAGAGAGAGATCCCCAGCTCGCTCCCAGCCAGCATGGAGAGGAAAAGGTGCATGGGCTTGCGCAGGGTCTGGTCCTTCACGACCACAAGGAGAATAAGGCTGTTTCCCAGAATTGCCAGGAGGTACAGGGAGCAGAAAAGGGCAGCGACCCAGATGCTCCTAGCTTCTAATCCCGGGATGCCGGTCAGGATGAACACGGGAGGAACACGGCTCCGGTTTTCAGGGGCTCCATGAAGATGAGCATTCTCCATACAGGACCTGCATGTAAATACAAACACCAGCAGCATGTCAGCTCTGAACCTGGAGTATTCGGATTACTGCAAAACATCTGGCGAGTAAGGGATGGGAGGTGTGCATGGCTGATTGTATCCCTGTGTCAGGAATCTTCTTAGGTGGGTCACATTGATGGCACACCAACCCAGGCCTTCCCCCTGGAGTATTTCCTCCATGAGTGGATGCTTTGGGGTGTCGCACTAGACCCCTGAACATGAAGAAGAAGGGTTGGGTTTCATACCCTGCTTTTCGCTACCTTAAGAAGTCTCAAAGCAGCTTACAATCACCTCCCCTTCCTCTCCCCACAACAGGCACTTTGTGAGGTAGATGAGGCTGAGAGAGTCCTGAGAGAACTATAACTGGCCCAAGGTCACCCAGCAGGCATCATGTGGAGGAGGAGTGGGGAATCAAACCTGCCTCTCCAGATTGGAGTCCCCCGCTCTTAACCACTACACCATGTTGGCTTTCATGAGGCCACACATCAGGCCCGTAGCCGGGATTTGGTGGCTTGTTTGGTGTAGTGATTAAGTTTGGTGTAGTGGTTAAGTGCGCGGACTCTAATCTGGGAGAATCGGGTTTGATTTCCCCACTCCTCCTCCACTTGCACCTGGCTGGGTGACCTTAGACAAGCCCTAGTTCTGATAAGAACTGTCTTTGAAAAAGAGCTGTTTCTGTCGAGAGCTCTCTCAGCCCCACCGACCTCACAGGGTGTCTGTTGTGGGGAGGGGAAGGGAGAGGAGTTTGTCAGCCGCTCTGAGACTCCTTTGGGTAGTGAAGGGTGGGATATAAATCCAATCTCTTCTCTTCTTCTTCTTCCTGTGAGGCAAATTTCTTTCTAGTGGGGGTGAAGTTCTCGGTGCAGAAAGAAAAGCCACCTAGCCAATAGAAACCCAGGATAGATCTCTGAATTGCAAGCTGTCAACCACTTTAGATGACAGTTCTCAGCTGCTGCAAGTTAATCACTTCTGCCAGCCTAAGCAACAGTTTTGAGAACAAGCCGGCAGGTGGGGGTGAGGACTTCTGTAGTTAAGAAAGCTATGGCTGGGAGGGCGGGGCCATGGCTGGGAGGGTGGGCTATAAAAATAATAAATAAATAAAAAATAATTTTGCAGAAAAACTCTCTTAAAGGAGACCAGTTTCTTGACACAGAGTTAGAAGGTATCCTAGAGGTCACCTACTCCAACCCCCTTGCTCAGTGCAGTAATTAGTCAGCTACAACACCTCACTCTTCTTAAAGGAGAGCACACCTTTAAAAAAAATTAAAATGATTGATAAAAGCATCTACAGGAGAAATTCTTGTGGGACTGTGCCTTTAAGAAAGGAGGCAGAGCCCCCAAATGCCCCACTGTGGCTGGCTGGGAGGTCGGGGCCATGGCTGGGAGGGTGGGCTATAAAAATAATAAATAAATAAAAATACTTTGGCAGAAAAACTCTCTTAAAGGAGAACACATGTGGAGAGTGCAGCAGCCACATAAGAACTGCTGAGGCACAAGGGCATGGATGTTTGGAGACTGGTGCCACTGGACCACATTCAGTCACACATCTTATTGTGCAGCAAGACAATGTTGAACGACAACAAGCGTACAAAGAATTGGAAGGGGGGCTTTGCTGCAGTGGGACAGTCATCTTGGAAAGAAGACGTGGACTCCTCTGTTCTGTACTGCCAGAGGGGGGCAAGGCACAGCCCCCAAAGAATAATAACGGCTGCACGAGCTGTCGTATATCAGGAGAAGCTTCCTGACTGTAAGAGTGGTCGAGCAGTGGAACAGTCTGCCTCGGGAGGTGGTGGAGGCTCCTTCGCTGGACCGTTTTCAAGCGGAGGAGGCTGGACGACTCTCTATTGGGTATGTTGTAGGTATGTAGGGCTCTCTTTTGGCTATGCTCCTGCAGAGTGCAGGGGGCTGGACTAGATGACCTGCAAGGTCCAACTCTAACATTCTATGATTCTATGTATTCATCAAGTGGTGGACTTCTACTCAATAGGCAGGGGGCGTGGTGTCTCAGTGGCATTTGTGGTTTGAAAAGAAGCACAGCCAAAAATGAAAAGAGGCGTTGAGCCTTATCAACTTGGGACTGATCCCCACACACACACACACCATTGTTTGGAGCTAAACATTTCTAGTCAAGCAGAATTCTACAGGACTGGATATAGAATCATAGAATCATAGAGTTGGAAGCTACCTCCAGGGTCATCTAGTCCAACCCCCTGCACAGTGTAGGAAATTCACAAATACCTCCCCCCACACACCCTCCATTTGGGACTGATCCCCCCCCCCACCACCATTGTTTGGAGCTGAACATTTCTGGTCGAGCAGAATTCTACAGGACTGGATATAGAACCATAGAACCATAGAGTTGGAAGGGACCTCCAGGGTCATCTAGTCCAACCCCCTGCACAGTGTAGGAAATTCACAAATACCTCCCCCTTCACACCCACAGTGGCTGCTGTTCCATGCCCAGAAGATGACCAAAAACCTTCAGGATCTGTGGGAGGTTCCCGGTGAGGTTGAACTCTCTAGCTTGCACAGAGTCTCTTCTATAAAGAATCTCTGAACCTGCACCTGTCATTTCCCCAGAAAGCTCTTTCCTGGGGGCACCTTCTTGGGCAGGGGGTGTAACTCAGAACACGGTAATCTCAATCCTCGCCAAAGGACAGTCTGCCAAGGACAGTCATCTGGAGAACCCCTGTAAGTTTGGGGTCTCTAGCACTTCGGGGGACCATTCGACCACAACCAGTGTTCCCCCTAAGCTGAGTTAGTGTGAGCTAGCTCACTGGTTTTTTAGCCTCCAGCTCACACATTTCTGTCTTCGCTCAGGAAAGATGGGGCTCCAGAGCAAACTAATTTATTCAGTAGCCAAATCACTTGCTCACAATTCTAATGCCAGTAGCTCACAAAATGTTTTGCTCACAAGACTCCACAGCGAAGAAGAGGAGGAGGAGAAGGAGGAGGAGATTGGATGTGTACCCCGCCCTTCACTACCCAAAGGTGTCTCAGAGTGGTCATCCAGCCAGGTGCAAGTGGAGGAGGAGTGGGGGAATCAAACCCGGTTCTCCCAGATTAGAGTCCGTGCGCTCAACCACCACACCAAACTACAACAACATTAGAGGGAATGTTGATTCTGCAACACAAACCTCACAAACTAAACAGGTTCGTTTGCACCTAAAGAGTTTGCGATGGCTCACGGCTCACGGCTCACAAACGGGGCCCAGCATGAAGCACAGAGGGAAACGAGCTGCATATTCTTCTGGTGCTCGCCGGTCCCTCCGAACCAGGGCCAGCCCTGCGTACCTTCAGAGGTCTGATGAGGCCGGGCTGCCCTGGCCTATCCCTGCTTTGTTGCCCTCCTGACTCTGCTTGGCTTCCAAGATCTAACGAGGTCAGACTCATCTTGGACCATCCAGGGCAGGGCAGGGCAAAAGCCATACAGAGCTGGTTTGCCCTTGCCTGCCTCTACATAGCAACCCTGGACTTCCTTGGTGGTCTCCCTTCCAAGTACCAACCAGGGCCAACCCTGTTTAACTCCTGAGATCTGATGAGTTTGGGCTAGCCTGGGCCATCTAGGTTGGGACAAGAGACATTGAGAGGTGGGTTGCCAACTTGCCACTGCCTTCCTTTGCATGGTGACCCTGAGTTTTGTTGGTGGTCTCCCATCCAAATAGAAACCAGGGCAGCTGTCAGCTCCACTGCTGGCCGCCCTTTGCAGCCGGGTCTCTTTCCTCAGCCACCGCTGCGGGACTGTCTTCTCCGTGCAGAATGCCAGATGTGCACATCCCAGGCCTAGGGATGGACATGAACCTGCTCACCAACTAAAGTTCCTGTTTAATTTTGGCCGGTTTGTGAACTGACGTTTGTGGCGAGTCAACCTGTCCGAACTTTCCACAAACTTTCAGGCAGTTTGTGGCGGTTCATGAATGGATCTGTTTCTGGACAGTCTCCGCTCAATCAAAGTATTTCCCAAACTTCTAAAACAACAAGGGAGAAACCGTAGACGAGTGGGCAGCAAGGTGCGGTTCCCTGTACATTTGGTGTGTGTAACTTGCACTTTTGAAACCGACCTTGACATTTTCCCCAGAAGCACTTCCCTGGGGGCCTCTTATTTGGGGAACCATAACTGAAGCCCCAGAAATTCAATCTGCACATAACTCGGAGTGTGAGGCTGAAGTCTCTAACTTGCACAGAGTCTCTGAACCTGCACCTGTCATGTCCCCAGAAAGCTCTTTCCTGGGGGCACCTTCTTGGGCAGGGGGTGTAACTCAGAACCCGGTAATCCCAATCCTCGCCAAACTTGGAGGGTCTGCCGAGGACAGTCATCTGGAGAGCCCCTGTACGTTTGGGGTCTCTAGCACTCCGGGGGACCGTTCGACCACAACCACTGTTCCCCCTAAGCTGAGTTAGTGTGAGGTTTTTAGCCTCCGGCTCACACATTTCTGTCTTCGCTCAGGAAGGATGGGGCTCCAGAGCAAACTAATTTATTCAGTAGTCAAATCGCTCGCTCACAGCTTTAATGCCAGTAGCTCACAAAGTAGAATTTTTGCTCAGTAGGTTCCACAGCTTAGAAGAAGAACAAGAAGAAGAACAAGAAGAGATTGGATTTACAGCCCGCCCTTCACTACCCAAAGGGGTCTCAAAGCGGCTTACAAACTCCTTTCCCTTCCCCTCCCCACAGCAGACACCCTGTGAGGGAGGTGGGGCTGAGAGAGCTCTGACAGAAACTGCTCTTTTTCAAGGACAGCTCTTGTCAGAACTACGGCTTGCCCAAGGTCATCCAGCAGGTGCAAGTGGAGGAGTGGGGGAATCAAACCCGGTTCTCCCAGATTAGAGTCTGCATACTTAACCACTACTACCAAACTACAACGACATTAGAGGGAATGTTGATTCCGCAACACAAACCTCACAACCTAAACAGGTTCGTTTGCACCAAAAAAGTTTGTGATGGCTCACGGCTCACAAACCGGGCCCACCATGAAGCACAGAGG